ATCTCATCACCTATCCATCCATTCACCTCACAATCCATCTATCTTCCATTCACCTCACAATCATCTATCCATCCATTACCACCATCACATCCATCCATCTATCCATCTATCCATCCATTCACGCTCACAATCCATATAAATCCATCCACTTCACCATTCACAATCCATCTATCCTTCCATTCAATCCAATCCATCTATCCATCCATTCACCTCACAATCCATCTATCCATCCATTCACCTCACAATCCATCTATCCATCCATTCACCTCACAATCCATCTATCCATCCATTCACCTCACAATCCATCTAATCACCTACCCAATCATCCACCAATCCATCTACCTCACTATCTATCCACCTCACTATCTATCCACCTATCCACCTCACTATCTATCCACCTATCCACCTCACTACCCATCAATCCATTTATCCACCCAACCATCCACCCTATCCCTTACCTCGAACGGCGATGGGTGTCGAGCTATCAATCAATATCTATCCATCCATCCACCCATCCACCAATCCACCTCACTACCCATCCAATCCATTTATCCACCAATCCATCCACCCAACCCACCCAACCCACCCACCCACCCACCTATCCACCCAATCCACCCACCTACCTATCCACCCACCCACCCACCCATCCACCCACCTACCCATCCACCCACTCATCCACCCATCCATCTATCCACCTCACTATCCACCTACCCATCCACCCACCCACCCACCCCCACCTATCCACCCACCCACCCAACCACCCACCAACCCACCACCCAACCCAATCCACCCAAGCCCACCCACCCAACCCACCACCCCACCACCCACCCACCCCACCTACCCACACACCACCACATCCACCCACCCACCTATCCACCCCACCCACCACCACCTACCCACCTACCCACCCCACCCACCCACCCATCCACCCATCCCACCAACCCATCCACCCACCCACCCACCCACCCAACCCACCCACCCACCCTACCCACCACCTACCACCCACCCACCCAACACCTATCCACCCAACCCCACCCACCCAACCCACCCACCCACCCAATCCACCCATCCACCCACCCAACCCACCCACCCACCCCATCCACCCACACCACCCAACCACCCATCCACCCACCACCCACCCAACCCACCCCACCCACCACCCACCCACCCACCCACCTATCCACCTATCCACCAACCCAACCCAACCCACCCACCCCACCACCCCAACCCACCCAACCCACCCACCCACCCAACCCACCCAACCCACCCACCCACCTATCCACCCCAATCCACCCATCATCTATCCACCTCACTATCTACCCACCTACCACCCACCCACCCACCCACCAATCCACCAACCCACCCACCAATCCACCCAACCACCCACCCCACCAACCCACCCAACCCACCCACCTATCCACCCACCAACCAACCAACCCACCCACCCCACCCACCCAAAACCCACCCCAACCACCCACCACCCACCCACCACCCACCCACCCACCTATCCACCCAATCCACCCCCACTATCCACCTCACCAACCCACCTATCCACCCAACCCCCACCCACCACCCCCACCCACCACCCACCAATCCACCCCAACCCACCCAACCCACCACCCACCCACCCAACCCACCCACCCAACCCACCACCCACCCACCACCCACCCCCACCCACCCACCCCACCCACCCCCACCCCACCCACCACCCAACCCACCCACCTATCCACCTATCCACCCACCTCGCACGGATACGGGCGTGGAACTATCCGCCTTCCCAAAGTCGTTCTCGGCCACACAGCGGTAGAATCCGGAGTCGTCCTCGTCAGCTGCCTGGATGACGAGGGTGGTCGTCTGGACGGGGGGGGGGGGGGAGAGAAAAAAATAGAATAATTTATAATAATATTATAATATATTATAATAATATATAATAATAATAAATATATAATAGAAATGATAATAATAATAGAATGATAATATAATAGAATAAGAAAGAATAGAAAGAGAGAGAGAGAAGAGAGAGAGAGAAGAGGAGAGATGAGAGAGAGAGAGGAGGAGAGAGAGGAGAGAGAAGGAGAGGGTGAGGTGAGGAGGCGCGTTGTAGAGAGATGGGGTGTGTGAGTGGGGGTTGGGGAGGAGACGAGGGTGAGAGGGGCTTGGGGTGAGATGGGGGTATGAGAGGGGGGGCGAGAGAATAAGAGAGGTTGAGAGGGGGGTGAGTGGGCGGAGAGAGAATGGGGGTGTGGGGGGGGAGGGTGATGAGGGGGGGTTGAGTTGGGGCGGAGAGAGGATGGGGGTGTGGGGGGGAGGGGAGGGGAGGGGAGAGAGAGAAGGAGAAGAGAGAGAGAGAGAGTGAGGAGAGGACGAGAGGGAGGAAGAAGAGAAGAGAGAGAGAGAGAGAGAGAGACGAGAGAGAGAGAGGGAGGGTGAGAGGGGGGGTGAAGAGGGATGTGTGAGATGGGGGTGAGGGGGTTGAGAGGGGGTGGATAGGGGGGTTGTGAGAGGGTGGTGTGGGGGGAGGGGGGAGAGAGAATAATAGAATAATATATAATATATATATATAATATTATAATAATATAATATATAATATAATAATAATATATAATAGAATGATAATAATAATAGAATAAGAGAAGAAGAGAGAGAGAGAGAGAGAGAGAGAGAGAGAGAGAGAGAGAGGAGAGAGAGAGAGAGAGAGAGAGAGAGAGAGAGAGAGAAGAGAGAGAGAGAGAGAGAGAGAGAGAGAGAGAGAGAGAGAGGAAAGTTTGCAGTTGAAGAGAAGAAATGAAAGAAATAAAAAAAATAAAAGAAAAAAATGAAAAGAATAATAATGAAAAAAAAAATAATGAAAGTAGATAAATAGAAAATTAATAAAAAGATGATTATATTTAATTAATACCATTAATAATTATATTATTAATTAATATTAAATAATCTTTAATTATTTTATTTATCAATTTAGTATTAATTATTTATCTATCTATTATAACAAAATATTAATTATTAATAATGAATATTATTATTTATTATTAATAATTAATAAATAATAATTATTAAATATTATTTAATTCAATTAATTATATATGAATTAATCATAATATCATTAATAAATAATATTGATTAAATTATTTAATATTAAATTATTTAATCTATTATCTTTTATCATCCTTTTTATAATTTTTTATCATCATTTTTATTAGTATTTTATTTAATTTTTATCATCATTTATTATTATTCTCATTATCATTCATTTTTATTATTTCTTTATTATTTTCATCATCATTTTTATCATTTTTATCATCATTATTATCATCATTTTCATTATTTTTATCATCATTTTATCATCATCATTTTCATTATTTTTTTATCATCATTTTATCATCATCATTTTCATTACTATTTCTATCATTATTATTTTCATTCATCATCATTATTATCATCATTTAATTATCATCATAATTTTCATCATTTTCATTATTTTTTTTATCATCATTATTATTATTTTTTTTCATTATCATTTTTATCAATCATCATTTTATCATCATCATTTTCCTTACTATTTCTATCATCATTATTTTTTTATCATCATTTTTATCATTTTTATCATCATTTTCATTACTATTTCTATCATCATCATTATTTTTTTATCATCATTTTTATCATCATTTTCCTTACTATTTCTATCATCATTTATTTTTTCATCATCATTTTTATCATCATCATTTTCCTTCCGATTTGTCTTACCTTCAACAGAGAATCTCCCGGTGCTCGTGACCTCGACGTCGTCCTTGAACCAGGTCAACCTCGGCGTCGGGAACCCGCTGACCTCGCAGGGGATGCGGATGGTCGACTGGGGCGCGAATTCCGTGGCGTTGATGCGGATCGTCGCCCTTAGAGGCTCTGCGTGCGGGGTCGGGGGGGGGGGAGGGAAAAGGGGAGAAAGAGAATGAGATAAGATTTTTTTTTTTTTTTTTTTTTTTTTTTTTAAGGTTTGTGGAGGGGTGGAGGGGGGGTGGAGGGTGGGGGGGTGGAGGGAGAGGGAGGGGAAAGGGGGGGAGGGAAGGGAGGGAGAGGAGGGGAAGGAGAGGGAGAGGGAAGGGGAAGGAGGGGAGAGGGAGAGGAGAGGGAGGGGGGGAAGGAGAGGGAGAGGGAGGGGAGGGGGAAGGGAGAGGGAGAGGGGGAAGGGGGAGAGGGAGAGGGAGGGGGGGAGGGGGGGAAGGGAGGGAGAGGGAGGAGGAGGGGGAAGGAGAGGGAGAGGGAGCGGGGGGGGAGGGAGGAGGGAGAGGAGGGGGGAAGGAGAGGAGGGGGGGGGAGGAGAGGAGAAAGGAGGGGGAAGGGGGAAGGGGAGGGAGTGGGGGAAGGGAGAGGGAGGGAGGGAGGGGGAAGGAGAGGGAGAGGGGAAGGGAGAGGGAGGGGAAAAGGGGGAGGAGATGGAGGGAAGGGGGAAGGGAGGGAGAGGGAGGGGGAAGGGAGAGGGAGAGGGAAGGGAAGGGAAGGAGAGGGGAAAGGAGAGGGGAGGGAGGGGAAGAGAGGGGAAGGAGAGGGGAGGGAGGGGAAGGAGAGGGGAGGGAGGGGAGAGGGGGGAAGGGGGAAGAAGGTGGGAAGGGGGGAAGGGAAAGAAGGTGGGGAGGAGAGGGGAGGGAGGGAGGAGGAGAGGGGGTTTGTGTGTGTGGTGTGTGTGTGTGTGTGTGTGTAAGAGCGTGTACATGTGCATCATACACACCCAACAACATATATATATATATAATATATATATATATATATATATATATATATATATATATATATATATATATATGTAGTTATAATTCTCCTGCTGTCTGTTAATCACTCTTTAATTAATTAATTAATTAATTAATTAATGTTATTAATCATCAAAATGTCTAAAAACTTTACACATGCAAGAACTTCGACCAAAATTTATGCAAAAAAGACTAGAAAAAAAAACTTCATAATTCCTCATGCAAATAATCAGTCATGCAAAATAACAAAAGATCATG